CACATTGCATGTTTATGAGACAAGAGGCTTTCATTGCCAACCCCAATGCTTCGTTGATCCGTAGGACCCGGTTGTTGGTCACTGGACGAACGTACCAGGATCGGGTGTAGGCCCTCAGTTGTTCATGAGTCCATGGAAATTTGAAGCAGCACTTGGACAGGGACGTATGACCAACAACATGCATGCAGAATGTAAGGGCTTGGCTGGACACCAATGCTTGAGAGCCGATCTTCATCAACACTTGTCAACCCTTCTGGGGCATAGAGTGTGAAGCACCTGGGTGGATGGATTGACACCAAAAACAAAATGCACCAAATGCACCAACCCAGAACTGGGAGCGCTAGAGAGTGACCAGCGAGCCAGCGCAGGCTGAGACAATGGCTTCCTGATCGTCGACCCATCCGAGGCATTTTCCGCGGGCTCCGGGAAGTGGAAGAACTCCTTATCTTTCTCAGCCACAGCTTCTAGATCTTTCATAGCCACTTCCTCAGCGATAGAAACGAGACGAATGAGAAGATCAGGTTGGCCATCAACTGCACATGACACAACAGACTGGTACACACATCCACACATATGTAGTTAGGGTGTTTTGGCTGATACCGCATAGTTCAATTAAGGGTCCAATGCTGACGCGCGAGATTCAGTCGTCTTGTCCGTCTTGTCCTGGGACTTAGATCCTCTTGGCACCCTCTTTGGTTTTTGCTTTGGCACTGCAGCCTTGCCCACCTCCTACGGGAAAAACATCTAGGATGGGAAAGCAGCAACATTCTGTTTTGAATGTGTTTAAAGCAGTTTTTACAGCACCGGATAGAAACCCACGGAACATGCATGCACCTTGTCCAAATCATTCTTTTCAGCCCCTTCCTTTGGCTTGTCCTTCTCAGAATCCTCCAGCTTTTTGATTTCCTCTTCAAAGTCAATCTTGCGGACAACATTTGGCTTTTTGCGGGCCTTCGAGGGTGCAGCAGCAGATGACGATGCATGTTCATCGCGCTTTCCAGGGTGCTCATGAAGTTTCTTGGGGCTCCACTTTGACATAGATCTTTGGATCTTCCCCTTCACAGACGCTGTCAAGGCTGGTCCATCCTCAGCTTTTCGCTTTTTCTCTTTCTCAATCACTCTCTCAGCCTTTCGTTTCGCAATCTCCATGTCGGCCATCGCTTCAATCCGGGAGATGTCTTTCTCAAGCGCTTCGATTTCACGCTTTTTGTGCTCCACCATATCCAACGTGGCCTCCACAGCATCCAGTCGTCTTTTGTGCAATTCCTCATCATCCTTGTCTAATTCATCCATATCTTCCTCAACCTGTTCTTCAACCTCCTCGTGCTTGTCAGCTTCATCATCCCTTTTTGCCTTGCCTTTTGCACGTGGCTTGGCCTTGGGCTTGGTGCTTGCCTTTGCTTTCGCTTTGGGCTGCCCTGTTTTCCCTTTTCCTCTTCCTTTTCCACGTCCTCGCCCCTTTCCTTTGCGCACCTTGTCCTCATTGGATTCCTCCTCTTCTCGCATTTTTTCTATCTTCATCTTCTACATCATCCCCCTCCTCTTCAGCTTCACGGTTTGCCTGGCGCATCTTCTTTTGTGCCTGGGGATTCACATGGCAAGAGCAACCAGGTTGAATTGAACACATATTAAAAAATAGAATTAAAACCATGCACGCTTGAAATCTGAAAGGGTCCGGGGTCGGGTCCAAAAATTTAATTGGTATGAGGCTCTGTCCTGTAGGACGTCATCGTTGCTTGCTTCTAACTTCCTCGTTTTGTAGAGCTCCTTCATCAATTGTTGGGACTTCGCCAAGATCTTTGGATCATGTTTGGGCTCCTCCTTTGTCAAAGTAGTTTCGTCCTGAAAGACACAATGCAGTTTGATCTAGAATGAATTAGTTGGCATGTATCAATTTGTCAATATTTGTTTTTGCGTGCAATTTGCACAAAGGACTCCCCACCTTGTGAGCTTGTGTCCCTTCATCTCCAGAGTCCACTTCATCTTGTTGTGTTTCTGCTGCCACCTTTTCTTCTTCCTCAGGCTCGTCAGCCTGGCTGTCCTGAACCTCCACGCTCAACTCCTTCTCATGTTGTTTCTCACCTTTGCAGTCTGTTTTTGCAATCTGCTCTTGCTCTTCCTGGTCGTCCAAAATCTCCTCCTCAGCATCATGGGGCAACTGCATTTGGGAGTCTTCACAGTGTTGTTGTTCATGAGGCATTTGGGAGTCTTCACAGTCTTCGTAAGGCATTTGAGAGTCCTCAACGTGTTCGGCAATTTGAGACTCACCAGGTTCAGGTCCATGTCCAACCTGCTCCTCCTGTGAATAATGTTCTGTGGCGTTTCCTTCCCCAACCTCAACTTCTGCATCCTCTGCTGCATTGTCCTCTTCGTTGCCCTCTAGCCCTTGCTGATCCTCATTCTCCATGTCACTGTCACTGACCTCTTCAATCGGGTCATCAGCAGCCGGGTCTTCTTCCTCACCAAAATCTTCAACTGGGTCGTTGAGGTTCATGGGCAAGGTGTCAAGGTTGTCCGGGTGCTGGGTTTCTTGTTTGCTTTTCTTCTTTGGGCCTGACAGATTAGTGCGTATGATCATATACCTCGTAGGTATAATGCACGCACACATGACAAGCATGACAAAATGACTGGATCATTTTATGCGTTGAAATCTATGTGAATTAAATCATCGTGAACTCATAGAATGATTTTCACTCAAGCCCAGAATCATTGCCTCCACCTTCCCCATCAGCATTGTCATTTGGCTGGGCATCAAACTCCTCACCAATGTGCTTAAGATTGTTTAAGTACACCGTGAGACAACTGTTAGACATTTGTTATCCCTGTTAGTCCTGAACGGATCTTGATCGGCCTCTGGTGGCCACTTTTTTGCCATCAAGGGTCAGCTGCCCCACGGCCTCACCAGCTTTTCAAAATGCAACACATTTTTTTAGATGTCGAATTGTTTGGTTGGTACCATGTCCATGTGAGCTTGCCTCCAACGAAGCTCGGATTATAGCCTTCAGCTGTGCCATCTTGGAGTCCTTCGTCCTGAAAAAATGTTGGTCTAGGAACTGCAAACAATATTTTTTTTGGAATTGTGCACGATGTGCGATTTTCGTTCATAGGCAGTCCAGTCCTGGCGTTCGGATTCCTTTGAAATCTTGTCATACAGTATGCTGCCATAGCCCTTTGTGTCCCAGCTTCTAGCTCAGCCCATCCCTGAGCTTAATCGCACTAAAGATGCCCCACCATACACAGCGCACTTGACACATGCTACAACACTTTGCCACCTAGATGCAGCATGTTCCCTGTGAGACTCAAAGCCAGGATTGAGGTTGTAGTGCTCGGACACGTGTGTAAGAGCTTCCTGCCGCCAGGCATGCACAGAATTCTATAATATTATGTTACACATTAGTTAATTGTTTTGCATATCATTCATTGCCAACCTGATCAGGTGACATAATGTTTTTCTTGGGGGCTGTGGTCCTTCATAGTGGATTCCGCTGGCAAACCACCAGCGAACTGCGCAAGGAACTCGACCAGAAAGAGATAGTTCACTTCTTGTTGCATCTCAGAGGGGTTGCAAACATCACATGACATAAATAGTTCGGCTGATTTTTACATAATGTCAGTGCCCTTCAAAGTTCGGCCTCTGCTTCTTGAATGGTATCTTTCTCAGAGTATCTCAAGACAAAGGCGAATCTGGGCACCTCAATTGGAGACAAAGTCTTCATTCATTTTTTTTGGTTGCAACCAAGCTCATTGCAGATCCAATCAACCCATTCAACATATGATCAAGCTACTGATCAATCAACCAAGTGGCGCTCCGGTCACCATCCTTCATTTTCAGCCTAGTCCTCAATAGTTTTTGCCGCCGTCGCACAAATCCACTCTGCATCACCAGCTCCGTGTAGAAAGCCTGTTAGAGGGGTCTTCTAAGGATCAGTCCACTCCGGTTCTCAGGTATCCTATTTTATGCGTGACCCCTGCCAACGATTGACTGCCTGCCTTGAGCAGGTCGAGAGCATCAGTCGCGCTGCCATCCATGGCCGCCAGTCGAAGCCAGCGCGCCAAAACAAAATGCAAAAAGGTTGCGGTCTTTGAAGACCAATTGGGCCACGAGGTCCCGGGTTGGAAGGGTCATGATCACAGATCAAATGTTGCAGAACACTGGGAAAGGTGGTCAGTCCTTTTCGGGGGAGTGGTGGTATAGGCTGAACACCGCTGAACACTGATCGGACCTTTGCACCTAGCCTTGAAGCCCTGAGAAGTCCTCGACCTATAGCGGCCTCGCCTCTAGATCTATCTTCATAGCCGCCTTCAAATTGAGCAGCATTGCGGATATCTTCAGATTCTTGCAGCACTCCTCGGCAGCTGTGGCTAGTCCATGCTTGTTCCCACTCACCCTAAAACCCTTTGGTGCACATGCATCACTAACAAGATTGCCTCGAAGCAAAGCTTTTCTTTTGCCCATAGATCCATAGGACCTGAAGGAAGGGTGGCAGGGAAGATAGATCCCAGGATAAGATATTGAGATGTTTTTCCATGTAAGCTCTCAAGTTAAGGTCCCCACTCCCATCCAGATCAAAGGACATCCCACCATTGGCGCCAGAGAAGCCACTGTGGAATGTAGGGACCGATCTAGTGAAACTTACAAAGATGCTGGTCCAATGTAAGAGGGACGTGAGTTTGATCTACGTTGTCCATGTCAACATCCTCTCAAGAACCCCAACTTTGGCCCCTTCGAGCCAGGTCACATAGTCACCTGTAGCGGCAACAGGTTGCCAATGTAGGTTCTTTGACAAAAATGGCCGAGGGCAACAGCCTACATTACAAGAATGGTCGTCGCGCAACCTCTATAATAAAAATGGTCGAGGACTTCCAGGGTTATTATATACTGTAATGCATATTGAAACATGTCGTGTGTTGAGAGTTTGGAACCTATTTTGCATTGATGAGGTATTATGAACTGTAGATTTTGGCACCAGCTTGCCGCTGCCTTTGCCACTTGCACTCAGGATGTCTACGACCTGGGTGTGGCCAACGCGGTGCGGCACGATCGTGTGAGCCAGAATAGTTCCACCATCGTGCGCGAGGCCCATGTGCGGAACCCCATCTCGGGGACCGTGATGCCACTGCATGAATATGCGAACCCCAGAGGAATTGGCGTCTCGCCTGGTCTGGGCCGCCTTTTTTTGTGGGTGTGAGGAGGGTGGGGCCTTTCCCAAGAAAAACACAGAGGACCCTACATGGCACTATAAGAGTCAGTTGCTTTGAATGTGCAGATCGGGTTTTCTTGCTGCTTGTGATGTTTTGGGCCAGTTTCTGTGTCCAAGGACTTCCCGATTCCTTCAATCAGATCCTCCGTAACCCGCTACTGAAGCGGGGCCCTTTGTTGAAAACTATAAGTAACAGTACAAAACCAAACTGTAGCTGTAGCTGGTTACATGTGGATTTGTATACATGTGGAACCGCATAGTTATGACAATAACAAATGGAATTCATAATAATTAATTCATACTAATTTGTGATGTTCATTGGGGGGTTTTCCAGCAGAGATCAGACAAGTCTATGACAATTTCTGCTGAGTGTCGGGTCTGATGGTGTTGCCGGTGTTGAGACAACCAGCCATTGCTGCTAGGGAGTTTCTTGGGACCTTGTGGGTCAACTCGACCTGTGAGAGATGGTGAGACAACTCTTCACATTCTTCCAGGCAGAGGCAGAGGATGTCTTTGTTCAAGGTTTGATGCATGATTTTCAATATGTGATTACTCACAAGGGTTATTTGATACAACTCCCTGTAGCCGATTCAGGCATATCTAATTTGGTTCAGGGGAGCCATCGATGTTTGCTCCTGAGAGCTTGTGTATACTGCAGTGGCATGTAGTGGCATATAATAGCGATGAATCCTCAGTATATAAAAGACTACCTAGATCAGGAACCAGGGTTCCTGGTTCCAAATTTAGGTCGATTAAACAAAACATCTGGAACAATTTGCCTTTTGCTTGTTGGTTTTGCATTGTTTGCGTCAACTGGTTCACCAAGGCGATGCAAAGATGAGCACCCCATAAACCATGGTGGATGCAGCGTTTCACTCGCACTGAGATCGAACACGCGATGCCTGCCTTGAGGTTTCGCAGAGATGCTCAGAAAGGAAAAGGGCGATAAGACATTCTTTGTCAAAGACTTGAAAAGACCTCAAACGGATTTGGTTGCACGAAGCCCAGCTAAGTATTCGCAGCAGGATGTTAAGGTCCCAGTTTTACAAGCCTTTGGCAACGTGGGCCAGAGAAGGAACAGGGTATCGCCAGAAGATGTAAGAAGTTTCCTTCATTCTTCCTCCTACCATTACCACCGAGGGCTCACCAGTTTCTGCCAATTATCGCGTGTCTCATCAAAATGTTGGAACAGGAACAGAGGATGCTTAGGATGTGAGGTCCACATATTATTTGATTTGATGGACCTTTCTTTTTTTCAGGCTCACAGTGAAGGAACATGGCTTTTACATGCGTAGCTTGGGGCCACCTAATTTGCAGATAATGGGCATTTGCAGTTCACGGTTGGTTGGGGATTCATTGTCCAATTGGTAGGGGATCACACTCACATGGCATTCGCAAAATGCCTTTGGAATGCGATTTGTTTGTTCTATGCGCCAGATGCCATCTGAGTGTCATCCCCTATACCTCAATTCGCCTTGGGAAAGGTCGCACCAGTTGCTTCGTCCCTGGTTCGCCGTTTAGGTGGAGATCTACACGGGCCGTCTTCATCAGATCCGGGTTTCTGGGCGGAGGGACCGATGGAGATGTGAAGTATTGACCTTTGGACATCTGAAGCCTTTGCGCGTGAGCATCCAGGTATAGATCATATATGTATATATTATATATAGGAGGGGCGTTGTTGGTTTTTTTTCCGGATATATATATTTGTTTTTGTTTTTTTGCGGATTCTGCTTTTGCTGCGTTTCTGCTTCTGCTGCTTTTGCTGCTTTACTGCTTCTGCTGCTTTTCTTGCTTTTCTGCTTTTGCTGCCTTTCTGCTTCTGCTGCTTTTCTGCTTTTTGTGTTTTTGTCTTTCTGCTCTTTGCTTTTGTTGCTTTTCTGCTTTGGCAGCTGTTCTCCTTTCTCTCTTTGTTTTTGCTTTTCCATCTGTTTGCTTTCTAACCTTTGGATCTGGTGTGCTACTGGGGGGGGGCGCAGCGCCCCCCCCCCCCCCCCCCCCCCGCGCCACCAAATCTGAACTTCTAACCAATCATATATGCCTCCTGTGCTGGTTCTCTTTCTCTTTACTGTTTCTCTGCTAACGTAGGACTTTCTCTGACACCTACACTATTCCAATCTATTTTGCCAGCTACGACAGCTCCCAAATTAGTCTAATCAGCTAGCAATTAATATGAAACCTGCACTATTCCAATGTATTTGGCCAGCTACGACACCTGTGTCTCGGCTAAGGACATGAAATTGTTGTAATTAGCTAGGCACTAATAAGAAACCTGCTCTAGTCCAATGTTTTTGAAAAAAACGAAAAAACTGAAAAAAACTAGACGACGAGTGGCCCGAAAGCATTTTTCATCACGTAGGAAATCAGAGTGCGAGTTATCCGGTAAGTGTGTAGTGAGAAGTGTTAAGTCGAGTGAGTTGAGGTAGTGTGTGGGTTTCTGTGCGTGTGTCCATGTCCGTGTGGAAAGGAGTCTGCGTATGTGTGCGTTCGTGGAAGTTGAGGGAGTGTGTGGGTGTTTGTGTGCGATGCGGCCTCCCAAACCCCCCACCGGCGGCCAAGCGGTGACAGCCCAGCTCATCGTCGTGAGCATTTGGGCTGCTGGTAAGGGGACAATGGCAGCCAGCGTGCTGGCTTACCCACTTCAACTATGATGGCAGCCAGCGTGCTGGCTTTGCCATCTGGACAATGGCAGCCAGCGTGCTGGCTTACCCACTTC